CTGGCTAGGCCTGGATCTACCAGGGACTGGGTGCTCACTATTCCCTCCTCCTGGCTAGGCCTGGATCTACCAGGGACTGGGTGCTCACTATTCCCTCCTCCTGGCTAGGCCTGGATCTACCAGGGACTGGGTGCTCACTATTCCCTCCTCCTGGGTTGCTCCTACTCGAAGCTATAGCTTGCTGGGCTCCTTCTGATTATTCTGTTCTCACTCATAAAGCTCTTCCTGAACACACTATTTAATGCAGCCCTCAGTCTCCCTCGGACATATCAGCATGATAATCCAGCCCTGCTACAGGAACTCTGCAAGGCTATTGTCTATACTCAGAAGTCCATCCCTAAGGCTGGTTTATCAAAAGTTCTCAATATTTTTTGAATGAATGAGTGGATGGATAAGATTTTTCTTAAAAATATGTAAAAATAAATATTAGAAATTTGAGTTTCAAAAATCAATGTTTCAGCCGGGCGGTGGTGGCGCACGCCTTTAATCCCAGCACTTGGGAGGCAGAGGCAGGCGGATCTCTGTGAGTTCGAGGCCAGCCTGGGCTACCAAGTGAGTCCCAGGAAAGGCACAAAGCTACACAGAGAAACCCTGTCTCGAAAAACCAAAAAAAAAAAAAAAAAAATCAATGTTTCAAACTGTTTTCACGGTTCAAAAGAAAAGTCAAATTTATGGGAATTCTAAATATAAAAACTATAAATTTATCCCACATTAATTTTATAATGAGATTATGGTCATGTAAAATGTTTACCTAAGCCCTCATTACAAAGAAAGAAGCCAGCCGGGTGGTGGTGGCACACGCCTTTAATCCCAGCACTCGGGAGACAGAGCCAGGTGGATCTCTGTGAGTTCGAGGCCAGCCTGGACTACCAAGTGAGTTCCAGGAAAGGTGCAAAGCTACACAGAGAAACCCTGTCTCGAAAAACCAAAAAAAAAAAAACCAAAAAAAAAAAAAAAAAAAAAACAAAGAAAGAAGCCAATCTTTAATCCTAGCACTCAGGAGGTAGAGGCACGCTGATCTCTGAGTTCAAGGTCTGCCTGTCTATATAGTGAGTTCCAGAATAGCCAGGACTACATAGAGAGACCCTGTCTCAAAAAAAAAAAAAAAAAGAGAGAGAAAACAGGGCTGGTGAGGTGGCTCAGTGTGAAAAGGTGCTTGCCACAAAGGCCTAAAGACCTCAGATTGATCCTCTTTACCCACATGAAGGTGGACAGAACCGACTTCACCAAGTTGTCCTCTGACCGCCCAATGTCCAATGTGGTACACACACACACACACACACACACACACAAATAACAACAAATAGTTAGAAAGAAAAGAAGAACACTTAGTATTCTTCCAGAGAACCTTGGTTCAGTTCCCAACTCCTACATGGTGGTTCACAACCACCCCTAACTCCAGTTCTGGGGGATCCTGTGGTGATATATTGTGTACCCTAATAAAGCTTGCCTGAGGATCAGAGGACAGAGCCAGCCACTAGATTAGACACAGAGGCCAGGCAGTGGTGGCACATACCTTTAATTCTATCACTCGGAAGGCAGAGATCCATCTGGATCTCTGTGAGTTCAAGGCCACTGGGCTACATTACACTGATCCAGTATAGGAGAGAAACAGAGCCAGGCAGTGGAGGCACACACCTTTAATCCCAGAACTTGAGATCTCATGCCTCTGCTTGGGAAGCACACATGCCTTTAATTCCAGGAAGTAATATGGCAGGGCAGAGAAAGGTATATAAGGCGTGAGGAAACAGGAACTCACCCTCTTTAGGCTGAGGATTTCATAGAGGTAAGAACTAGTGGCTGGCTGTTCTGCTTCTCTGATCTTTCAGCTTTCACCCTGATATCTGGCTCTCAAGTTTTTTTATTATAGGACCATTTAGAAATTTGAACAACAGGATTCTACATCCTCTCTGGCCTCACACACATTAAAAAAAACACTCACACACATTAAAAAAAAAAAATCCCCCAAACAAAACCCCCAACAACTTACAGCTGATAAGAAGAGCTCTGATCATACCGCTTTCCTAGGTAAAACCTGTGAACTGTCTCCCAGTAGCCCCTCCAAGTCTAGCCTCAGCCTTCATTTCCAATATCCTTTCTCTGCCTACCTTGCCATCCAGTCAAAGTGAACCATGTGCTATTTCTCTGAGCACCCTTTCATGTCTTGGCTCACATTTCTTCTGTGGAAAGGCTCTCCTTTCCCATCTATACACACTAAAAGCCTACAGACACTGGGTAGCCAGGTCTACATAGCAAATTGCTGACAGGGCTATACAGCAAGATCAAGACAGAAGGTAGCCGGTAGACATGACTACATAAAATGAAAGGCTCTTTTCAATAAAGATTAAGAATAGAGTCAGCAGGTAACCGATTAGGAGAAGGTTGTTTGCTGTTTGTTTTTAAACCATGCAACAAAAGTCCTACAAACCAAAAGATAAAGACCTCAATAATAAACAAGCAAAAGAACACACATGTGCAAATCCCAGAGGAGAAAAGCTGAATGACTGACAGTTACCAGGTAAGTATGTATTAAAACATGTAGGGTTTATTACTACCTGTGATGGTTAGCTTTAATTCTCAGCTTGGCACAACCTGGAATCACCTGGGAAGAGAGTCGTGATGGGGCAGTGTCTACATTAGGTTGGTCTGTGGGTATGTTGTGGGGGACTGTCTTAATGAAGTTAACTGATGCGGATGACACCACTCTCTAGCAGGGGCTTCTGAACTGTGTAAAAGCAGAAACACTGGGCTGAGTGCAAGTGAGCAAGCGAGCAGCATGCACGCACTCTGCTCTGCTCCTGGCTGTGGATGTGATGGGACTAGCTGGCTTGAGTTCCGGCCACCTGATTTCTCTTTGACAGTCTGTGACTTGGAACTGTGAGCTAAAGTAAACTCTTCCCTAAGTTGATTTTTGTCAGGAAATTTTATCACAGCAACAGAAATGCCCATCAAGTCGGCAAAAATTAGAAACTTGGATAATATTCACTGATAATACAGACACACGAGGGTAAGCAATTGTAGCCACTCTTGAGACTGACAGGGAGAACCTAAGTAAGCCGATACAAAACATCACAGCAAAGTCAGTTCCTGGACATGTTCCCAGAGAAACGTTTGTGTCCTTCAAAAGGCAGGACTACATTCTTTGCAGCGTTGCTTATGGCATTAAAACAGACAGAAGCAACCTAAGTGCACAGTAGGGAACTGGAGAAGTAAAATATAATGCAGAAGGGAATACAATACAGGTTAAAAATAATCAGCCATGTATGTAGCAACATGGAATAAACAATTAAACAATACAATGTTATCAGTGTTAAACACACACAAATATGAAAAACATTAGAAATACAAGCACTCAGAAGATGGACCCAAAGAACCTATATATTCTAGAAATTCAAGAATGGTTACATTCTAGGATAGGAAGGAGAATTAGAAATGGAGAAAGAGGGCAAGCCTGTCCAGCCCACTTCTCTCAAGAACCAACAACAGAGGTAGGCGATGGGTGAAGACATGTGAGCAAGGGAAATGGAAGTCCAAGGGGGCAAAAGGAACAGGGAAGGAAAAAGTCATGGAAGAAAGCCAAACCCAACGGCACAGGAAATAAAACACAAGACCCCTCAAGGACTGTACCACTAGTAAGTGATGTAGTTCAGTTACTAGGATAACAAGAAAAAAAATCTAACTAATTTGTTATAAAATCCAAGTATATAGCACAGGATTATTAAAGACAGAAAAGTTAATGTGCTATAGTCTTCAGATTCTATCAATAAGAAAAATAGGAGCAGGAAGAAGTAACCATGAACAGATCCTAAGAATAATTAGCCTTTTCATCTTAAAACCTTTAGAAATACCAGCTTTACAAGGACAGTAAAGTTCCACAACAGGCACACAGCAGTCACTCTGTTACTGCTCTGGTCTATGTCCCCTAGGCTAGATGCAATTAGCCTACACACCTGTAATCCCAGCACTCAGCAGGCCAAGGCAAGAGGATTGTGAGTTCAAGGTCAGACTGGGCAGAAAATCCTGTCACAATAACCAAACCCAAAACCCAAAACAACCACCCCCCCAACAACCTGGAAACACGGCTGAGGAGATAGTTCCATTGTCAAGTGCTTGCTGCACAGGCATGAGGACCTGAGGTCTAGCCCCAGAACCAGCCTGGTGGCACATGCCTGTGGTCCCAGGCAGGGAGATGGAGACTGGTGGATCCCTGCACTCAATGGCCAGCAGCCTAGTCTACTGTGAGAGCCCGAGGAAAGGAAGGTGGGTAGCACCCAAGGAACCATACCAAGGTTATCTTTGGCTTCTACATGCATGGACACCTACCCGCATACACACAAACGCACATCACAAACACAAACACACAGACGTTAGCTCAAAAACTAACCTTGAAATGCCAGGTCCCTAAAGGATAAAGGTCATTGCCATACTAGAATACAATCTCCATAGCAGCATCCAACACAGAACTTTGATTTTATTATTACTTAAGTAAGCATTAAATGCTTTCTGATTGTCCCAGTATCTCTATGCAGTCTATTGGTCTAATATAACTATCAAAATGAATGACCCAGGAAAAGGACAAGACCACGTGAAATGACTACCAAAGAAGCAGCCAGTATTATGTCTCTAACTGCTCTGAGAGAATACTATAAATTTCTCTTCCTTCTCATTTGCTTGTGAGTACTAGTGATATAACTTTGATTTGGTATACCTTTCTCTAGTCTACAAAAAGGAATACACAATTAAGGTTAGGAAATATTCATCTTTAAATTTAACACAGTATGATGCACAGTACATTACTGATTTAAATAAGAAAATTCAGTTTTATAGCTTGGTATGTGTTAGTAGGTATTAATCTTGATTTCTCAAACAAATAAAATAACTATATACTACAAAGACCATATGCAAATGATATCAAACAATGCACTGAGCTCAGCTATGTCTGAGCCCAACAGAATATCTGCCTGCCTGTCTCCCATGAACAGATACAGTCAGATCCTTACCAATTGGGGAGTCTGTCGTCAGCCCCATGCTTTGAAGCAATGCCTCAGCTTCTCTTCTCTTTTTTTCAAGATCAGATTCCTCTTGCACAGAAACAGCAGCTTCCTTCTTCTGATCAGTCTAAATGTTTTAAGTTAAAAACTCAAGTTTATGTATAATAAGACACATTGCTATTTATAAAAAGATTTTATTTCAATTTATTTTTATTTTTATTTATATTATGTGTATGGTGTTTTACTTGAATGTTATGTATGTGCACCACATGTTTGCCTGGTGCTCACTGAGGCCAAGAGAAGAAGTTGGACCCCCTAGAACTGGAGCTATCAATGTTTGTGAGCTGCCATGTAGGTACTGGGAATCAAACCCAGTCCTCAAAGAGAGCAGTCAGTGCAATTAACCACTGAGGCATCTCTCCAGTCCTATATGAAGAAAAAAAAATTTTTTTTTTTTGAGACAGGGTTTCTCTGTATAGCTTTGCGTCTTTCCTGGAACTCACTCTGTAGCCCAGGCTGGGAACTCAGAGATCCACCTGCCTCTGCCTCCCAAGTGCTGGAATTAAAGGTGTGCGCCACCACCACCCGGCTAGCAAAATATTTTTAAACAAAGTTAGCCGGGCGGTGGTGGCGCATGCCTTTAATCCCAGCACTCGGGAGGCAGAGCTAGGCGGATCTCTGTGAGTTCGAGGCCAGCCTGGGCTACCAAGTGAGTTCCAGGAAAAGGCGCAAAGCTACACAGAGAAACCCTGTCTCGAAAAAACCAAAAAAAAAAAAAAAAATATTTTTAAACAAAGTTATAACTGTAAACTTTTAGGATAAAACTAGTTTTTAATATAAAGTTCTTTTTATAAATCATTCTCATTGGATCCATGTTTCTATATAAGCAAGGCATCTTCACAAGTATATTTTCAAAAAGGCTAGGAATGGTAGTTCATGCCTGTAATCCCAGAATTCAGTGGGCAGAGAATTTTCCTGAGTTCAAAGACAGGCTGGTCTACATAGTAAGCTCCAGATCAGCCAAGGTTACATGCAAGAGTCTGTCTTAAAATACACAAGTAACTTTTTAAGAAGCAAATACATCTTTAAAAAGCAGTCAATTTCAAATCTCTATAGTATGAAACTAATGACCAAGGAGAGAAATCATGGAAGTTTCCAACCCTATGGTACAAAAGCTTAGATATAAGTGTGACAGAGGGGGAAAATTAGAGGAATTTAAGATATAAAAAGGAAGTAATAGACAATTTGATTTATTGGAAAAACACATTTTTAAAGTTCTACATAAAATTTTCAATGAATTTATATAAAGACTACGTATCAAAAACTCTTCTAGAGAAGCTGAAAAGATGACTCAGTGGTTGAGAGTCCATACTGCTCTTGCACAGGACCCAAGTTCAGTCCCCAGCACCCATGTCTGGCAACTCACAACACCTTTAACTCCAGCTGTTAAACTCTTCTGGACTCCTCCTGTAGCACCTGTACTTATGTGTGTATACACACACACACACACACACACACACGTAATTTTTAAAAAAATCTTCTAGAGAACACTCATTTTTTAAAAGTTTAGACATTATCATTATTTTATCTGGTTTTGTTTTTTTTTTTTCTGTGTTACCCATGTTGGCAACAACTCTAGGGACTTGTGAGAGCTTCCTTTCTAACCTTCCCAAGTAGCTGGGGTTACAAGCAAACGCCACTAAGGCCAGCTTTCAGGTCTTATTTTAGTAACAAAAACACATAGCTGGGATGGGTTAAAACCAAAATTTATATTTTTAATAACACAAAACATTTATGTTAGAAAAATTTTACCAACTTTTGTTGTTGTTGTTTTGTTTTTTTCAAGACAGGGTTTCTCTGTGTAGCCCTGGCTGTCCTGGAACTTGCTCTATAGACCAGGCTGGCCTCAAACTCAGAACTCAGAGATCTGCCTGCCTCTACCTCCCAAGCCCAGCTGCCAACTTTTATTTTAGCCATTTATATATACTTTCAGCAAAATCTTCTAGCTATACTGGACAATTTCAACATGCTTAGAGCATATAAAACATCACGTAAAGCTCAAGCTTTCAGTGAAAAGCTTGTCAAGTAAACAACTATTACTTATATATTGAATGAATTTTGTTAGTCACAATATTTTTTATGTCACATTAACTTATTTTCATCAAAATACAGCAAAAGAGATACTGTTATCAAGCTGACCCCTCACTGTGTGCAATATTGTAGACTCACTGCTTACTGTCTAATCATGTTTTAAAGATTTTAAGTTAGACATCAATCACGTAGTAATTATTCCTTAGAGGCCACTTATGGCCACCTGTAAAAAATAAAAATCAAGTTTGTTCTCACTACCGAACAGTTTAATGTTATAAATACTCTTGGATCGACTCTGCCAGTCAGCTGTGAATCAAATAGCCAATGCAAGCTTCAACCTTTTTCTGTATATCACAGAAAGGTTCGGGAAATTATAGGAAAAAGTAGGAAACTCTTCATTACAGTCCTCTGAAGTATCTTGGCAATGCTGCACATAACTTCTGAGTCACTGTGTTAACTGTTTTTCTGCCAATGTTCTTTCTCTAGCTCCTGAGAGATGTCTAATCGTCGTGTTGTAGTCCTGGTATTTACATACATAAACTTGGTACAACAGGCACACTTAGGGCAAGTTATGGTATATTGAAGTGTATCTGTAATACAAGTAAACAAATCTGCCCGAAGAGCTGCAATAGGGACTAATGTGTAAATGTCAATGTAGGACAAGTGAAATATGTCCAGCTCAGAGCTAATGTATATTTGTGATATTTATAGATTACAGTATGGGATAAGCAAAATCAGAAGATAAAAGTACCTTTTTGGTGCTATCAAATCTACTGCTCAGTAAATGTATTTTAATGACTAACTTACAATAAACGTTAAGTACGTGCATATCCTCTACTCAAATAAATTGTTATATATAGCTCAGTTTGCCAGTAATATCATTCTAGCAAATTAGCAAAGTATCTGAATAATGAATTTATTATGATAAACATATACATGTTATCTTATAAAGTATTATAATGCAGATGACCTTATGTGGCATAAAAATATATCCTTAGAAGACTACATGAATAAATTCAATTTCCATAACTCAAAACTTAGAAATGCATCAGCTGATATGAACTGCTTCTGGCCTGTTAGAGTATCCTACTGGACTTGTCCGTCACTTTCATCTGCCTAGCTTTAGAGTAAGTCACTGGTAATTCTACACTGGCAGCAGCAACTGCGGACGGGCCACTCTCCTGCAGTTCTCACAGGAAGTCTAAGCACCTGAAACAGAATGGACTTATGTACGAAGGGGGTTGTTTGTTTTATTAACTCAAACATACTTCCTTTTTTTTCCTTTCCTCTTCTTTTCTCTTCTTTTCTTCTCTGATTTGGGCCAACCGCTGCTTCTTCCGTTCCAACTCGGCTTTTAATTCACTTTTGTCCGACATGGTTGTGACCTTAAAAAGCATACCAACATTTACAATCATCATTATATTGACTAAAAAAAGTAGCAGACTTAAAATGTACCAAGAAGCTAGGAATTTCAATGCTACCTAAGGAGAACACACAAGTTATATTTTTAAATAATAAAAACAGATACATACCATTAAGACAAAAGAAAAATTATAAACAAATGTATGAACAAGTATCACCCAAAACTTGAGCACAATAGCTAGCACACAGTGAGTGCTTTAATGTTCCAAGACCAATTTAACAATGTCTCCCTCTGTAGTCAGGTTGGCCTTGAAATCATGATGTAGCCTAGGATGTCCTCATGGCAATCCTCCTGTCTCAGACGCTGGTGTGCTAGATTACAGGAGTCAGCCAGAACATCCAAAGGTTTTTGATGACTCTGTATTTGAGTACTAGGTAATAAAAGTCATAACTAGTGTTTAAAACAAAAGACAGGTTGGCATTAAACTTAAGTCTTAACAGAGTACGATGGTTCACACCTGTAATCCCAGCTCTTCAGAAGCAGGGCAGGAAGATTTTGAGTTCCAAGCAGCCTGGGCCATACATAGCAAGAATGTTTAGTCTTCAGCCATGAAACCAAAAATATTAACAGAGATTTATGCATTTGTTCCAAGAAACTTGATGAAAACACTGAATGGTTAAAAAGAAAATTCCTAAAAATTCTTTAAGTTCTATAGATGTTCCATAACGATCAACTGAAATATTTTCCCACCCTGACACCTTCTCACAGCATTTTGATATGATTATCATCTATTTGAGTCTGGGACTGTTTCCTCATTTCTGTCCCCTTCACAGCATGGCAGTCTTAACATTAAAATGACAGTGGCTAAATGAATCCTGTGTAAAGTAGATGGGCTTACAAACATGAACATGACTCCATAGGGTTATGAAGGAGTGATGAACTAGGATCTTTCTGAACTAGAAAAGTAACCTATGGGCTGAGTGTAAGTTAGGAGCCAGGAGCTTGTTACCTTATCTGCATTACTGGTTTACTCTCTGTCAGTGTCTCTCTCAGTACAATTACAGGAATAAATGTTTTAGATTTAGGGAACTGGGTGAATAACATCTTGAAAATCTTAGGAGGCTCTCTTAGGAAACACAATAAATTTGGATTAAGGGCAAGCTGGTAAGGGGGCAAAATTCACCTACTGTAAATGCAAAAGGGAAATCTTGATTACAGTACTCCAGAAAGACTGACAGGACAGAGGACAAAAAAATGGTGAGCAGGTGACAGGGAAATCCCTTTAATATAATCATATAATATACACTCTTTCATATACTCCCAGCCAAGTCATTTGAACAAACTCACAAAGCAAGAGCCAGTGTTTCTTCACCCACCCTTTCCAGGTCTCTAAAAAGCTTCAGATGGTAAGGCCTGTGGAAGAGAGCTTCCATACACATTACTCTGTACTCTAGGTTATTTTCTGTTTACGGCTAACTGTCAACAAGTATACCAATCCTACCTGCTATCTAGATTAAAGAAATCTATCTTCAGTCAACCGTAACTAGTCTGTTCGGCTGAAGCACAGGTCATCAGCTAGCTCCCTCATCCTCAGACAGGGCAGAGCCTCTGCTCCGTGACTGACAGGTTCTTTTTCTTAAAACTCCGGGAAAAGGAAAGTGTCTAGGATGGTGTTAAAACCTCCAACACACACACAAACACACACACACACACACACACACACACACACACACACACACACACACACACACACACACACACGCCAGGTGCCTGGACATGCTACCGACCTAAGTAGTAGCGACCTTTATTCGTAAAACCAAGCAAAGCTTAAGGAATTAGTTTCTCCCTGGGCTTAAGGCCAAGAGGACGCGGTCCAGGCTGGGGTGTGTCCCGGGACCGCCAGGCGGGTGCAGGGCAAGCCCCGAGGCTCCGGTCTCCCGCGGAGGGTCCCGAAGTGTTGCCAAGGGCCGCGGTGGCCTCCCCAGGCCTTGAGTCACCAGGGCCGGCGCTGTCAGAACGATCGCCGGCCGGCCCCGCGACCTCCGACGCGGCCACCGGAGGCAAAGGGGCCTTGAAGGAAGCGCAGCCGACCCACCTGTCAGGTGGCGGGGTGGAGAAAGCTTCCTCTGGCCGGTAACTTCCCGGGAACGTCCCTCTCCAACTGTCCCCACCGCAGATCCGCGGCGTCCCAGACACACAAAGAGGGATGGGCGGCGGCCGCTACGGCGAGAGCCCAGGGACAAACGGCTGCGCAGAGACGCGGTCGCTCACAGAAGCAGAGGCGCGGCGGCCTGGCGGGGAGGGGCGGAGTTACTTACCTTGTGTAAAGCCTAAGCTGACGGGTGAAACAGATAAACACCGGCCGCAGGGCCCGAAGTGTTTCCGCTTTGGCAAAAGCTGGACAACTGCACCTCACATCCTGGGGCGGAGCCCGCAACACCCCAGAGAACTACAAGCCCCTGCAACTAGGCGCATTGTGTGATTGTGGGAATTGTGGTCCCCGATAGAAGCAAGGTATGCTGGGATATGTAGTCCGTCCTAACTTTTCAGTCCCCAGCACCAAGGCCCTCCTTCTGCCCTTAAAATGCCAATAGGAACATTCCATCTTCTGTCTTGAAAGTGTTTTCTTTAGTTGAACAGTGCTCACAATGTTGTATGTGTTGTTTCTTAAGCTCCGTGGCCCAACATTGACAAAAATCTTAAGAAATGCTGTTTTCCATAATGAACCCGAGAAAGAGACACTTTTTAGTTTGTCTATAGACATGTACCTTACCTGTAGATAGAACTTTAGCGCCTGCAAGCGAGCCTCCCGCGCGGGTTGTGTGTGTGTGTTTATTGAGGATTCGTGTAGCATGTAACACAAGATCTAAATAAAAAGATACTAATTAGTGTATAAAATAATTTATAGTATTTTATAGTGTAATACCTTTCTCTTATTGGATCTGATTAGATTTTAAATATAAAGAAAATTATTGAAATGTGAATTTACCAGAAATGTATGGGCTGATACACATGGCTTGAAATGTTTATTTAAATAATTTAAAGCATTATTTGCCAAGTATTAAAGCTAATACCAAAGCATTATCTTTCTTATCTTCTAGAAAACTGACAAGAAGCACATTGTTTAAGTTTAGATTGTTCTCAAATTTGAAGTTCTAAAATTTCAAAGAGTGTTTAGCTATACAAACTTTGTTTCCTTCTTTCCAAATATTTAGTTTTTGTTTATTTACTTGAAAAATTCTTGTGAGTGTCACTCATCATGTACCAGGAACAGAGCTTCATACTGTAAGAGCTAAAACACATCCCCTCTTCTCAAGGGAGAAAGACTGGGTTCTCAATTCAATTAACTGTTAGGACAAGATTGAGTAACTAAGCCGTAGAAATAGGCAAGAGAGGAAACATTTCATGAAGAGATGATTCCAGAGACAAGGCTTTGATTCTGGAAAGTGAATGAGATGTTAGCCATGTAAACAAGATGCAGAAAGATACCAGGGTACCATAGAGGGAAGAGGAAGGAGGAGGAGGAGGAGGAGGAGGAGGAGGAGGAGGAGGAGGAGGAAGAGGAAAAATAGGATCAAAGATAAGGGAGCAGAGCATGGTGGAGAATCGAGAAATTATTCAGAACGGCTATAGGCTAAGACCTGAGGATCGAAGCCATGGGAAGAACAAAGTCTCATATCTAGCTTAGATTGAGACCTAAGGTGGTGAATGTAAGAAAAGATTTTAAAGAGGAGAAGGGCATGATCGTGCTTACATGTTGGATAGTTCTTTAGAAATGGTCTGGAGAAAGGAGATTTACTGGTGTTATCTTTGTCCCTCAGATTCTTTCCGGCCCTGTTACACTAAACTCCACCGTTTTCGTGCTTGGGGGTGCCTCTCTAAGGACTGCTCTGTGTATGACCTCAGAGGGAGGGCATGGTGTCACAAGGTTTTATTCACAGCTCAGGGGGTGGGGGCCTGGCAGGGATAGGCACATCTCTGTGAGTTCAAGCCAGCCTGGTTTACATAGTGAGTTCCGGGACAGCCAGGGCTACACAATAGAGAGTCCCTGTCTCAAAAAAACAAAACCCAAACAAACAAACAAAAAAGGAGTCCCCCGAGGCAAGCTGGAAAATGAAGATGTTGTAGTGTGGTGTTGCTGGTCATTCACATAGGCTGTCACTGAGCTGGTTCTCTGGAACAGACCAAGAAACGAATGTCTGGGGGGAAATGGAAGACTGAGCCTGGGAGAAAGAGAAGGTAGCAGCTTTTCTTTTCTGGATGGAAGGCCTAAGGTCCTGAGTCCACTAACTGGACTCTGGCTGGGGTATTTCATAGAGCCCCTGGGTCCCTCCCTTTCCCCTCTTGGTCCTGTTTAGATGCCATCCCCTAACCTGATTTCCCAATGTTTCTCCTCAAAGTATCTTCTGGGGATAGAGGCTGGCATCTCAGGGAGCCTACTTCACTCTCCGTGTCTACCCAGGGCCCGCTAACTCTCCTTTATGGGACAGTTCTTTCCCACTCTTCCTCCCCTGAGTTACATTCACAGCAATGATTTCATTCCACCAATGATTTCGACTCTCCCTCCCTCTATGACTCTGGTTCTCACTGGCTTCTGGTAACTGTTTTCTCCTTTTAGTTCTTTATCACCTGGTCTATTATAGCTGTTCTTGAGTGCTACCTCATCCATTCAGAAAAACTTCTTACATTTGTGTGTGTGTGTGTGTGTGTGTGTGTGTGTGTGTGTGTGTGTGTGTGTGTGCGCCCTTATACTACAGTGCACGTGTGGAGATCAGAGGACAACTTGCAGGAGTTTGTTCTCTTTTTCCACCAAGGTCTGTCCTGGGGATTGAACTCAGGGTCGACAGGTTTGGCAGCAAGTGCCTTTGCCTACAGAGTCATCTCCTCAGTCCCATCTCATCCCTTGTTTGCTCACTTACTATTGCTTAGGTCTCTGCACCCCATCCTCACCCTCGCTAATACAGCTCTCTCAGAGGGATGAGAGGAGAGGAGAGGAGAGAGAGTTTGAAGCAGAGGGTAGTGTTGGAAGATTTGGGGATGGAGTCAGAAACCATAAAGACACCAAGACATTATTAATAGAAACTAGAAAAAATAGATCAGAGAAATGTTAAGGTTATGCTAATACATTGATAGCAATAAAGCATAGTAGTCACCCAACTGACTTTTCCACTGGATACCTAAAACTGCTGGATAAAACACCCTCCTTCTTATGTCAAGGCATTGGAAAGGAAGTAAGAAATGCTTAGGATTAAAAAAAACATAGGAGAGGTTTGGGGATATAACCCAGTGGCAGAGAGTTTGCCTAACAAGTGTGAGATCCCAAATTCAATCCACAGCCCAGAGGGCAAAACAAGGTGAGATGCTATAAGGTGAACTTCACAGCTTAACCTGGTGGACTCCACAACCTTGTAGGGTAAGCACAAGATGAAAAGCCCACCAGTGCCTACTTCAAACTAAGTTTTAAAAGCACACTTCCCAATGTGTCTTTGATGGAAGAAATCCACCCCAACCCTGACTCCCCTTCTGGAAAATGTCCAGCAGCCTCACTTTCCTTGGCACTGGAACCAGGCAGTCTCCCCTGAGAATAAGCTCTAACAGGGATTTGCAGCCTGGAGTGGTAGTTCCCAGATAGTTCATGAAAGCACCAACAAAAACTGGTTTAATGCTGGGGCAGACTTGCTCTCTGGGCTTGGAAGGAGCAAAAATAGGTGATAGCATATGGTGGTTTGAAAAAAAAAAATGGCCCCAAAGGGAGTGGCATTATTAGGAGGTGTGGCCTTTTTGGTTTTTTTTGTTTTTGTTTTTGTTTTTGTTTTTGTTTTTGTTTTTTTTTTTCGAGACAGGGTTTCTCTGTGTAGCTTTGCGCCTTTCCTGGGACTCACTTGGTAGCCCAGGCTGGCCTCGAACTCACAGAGATCCCCCTGGCTCTGCCTCCCGAGTGCTGGGATTAAAAGGCGTGCGCCACCACCGCCCGGCAAGGTGTGGCCTTTTTGGAGTAGGCATAGTCTTGTTGGAGGAAGCGTATCACTGTGGAGGCGAGCTTTGAAGTCTCACATATGCTCAAGATACCACCCAGAGTCTCAGACCACTTCCTGTTGCCTGCAAGATGTAGAACTCTCAGCTACTTCTCCAGCACCATGTCTGCCTGCACACTGCCATATCCCACCATGATGATAATGGATAAAACCTCTGAACTCAAAGCGAGCCATCTCAATTAAATGTTTTTCTTATAAGAGTTGCTGTGGTCATGATGTCTCGTTACAGCAGTAGAAACCCTAAGTAAGACACAGAGCTCATGAGGGAAAAGGGGACCAAGGCAAGAGCCAACCAGGATAGCAAGAAGGGGAGAAAGGCCCACAAAGACCTCGGTTTTGAAATGATCAGACAATGTAAAATAAAATGTTATCAGCGTGCTGAAAAAAAAAGAGAAAGAGCTAAGATATGACTGGAGCAACAGATATGAAAGATTCAACTAGAGCTCAATGGTCACGTAATTAAACCACTTTGTAAATACTTGTGTTTATAAACACAGACTAGTGTAGCTCTCAGCATTAGTCAGAGAAGCCTCTTCTAGCAGTGGCAACCACCAAGGCAGAGACTCAGAACTCATGAGAGGGCTGAGAATGAGGCCTGCATCTCCATTACCCATTCCAACCTGGGAAGAGATCAATATTCAAAATTTAAATGAAGTTTCTAGTGAATGCATATTTGTAGCTGGAGAGTTTCTCTCCAGGTCCCTCCAAGCCCCGGAAGTCCCATAGCCCACATAAAATAAACACACAGACTCTTATATTATTTAAACTGTTTGACCTAATGGCTCAGGCTTCTAGCTATCTAGTTCTTACATCTTAAATTAACCCATTTCTATAAATTTATACCTTGCCACATGGCTCGTGGCTTACCAGTATCTTCCATGTTGGTACTCTTGGCGGTGGCTGGCAGCATCTCCTGACTCAGCCTTTCTGTTCCCAGAATTCTCTTCTCTGCTTGTCCCACCTATACTTCCTGCCTGGCTACTGGCCAATCAGCATTTTATTTATACAGAGCGATATCCACAGCACAGAATACTGCTTTTACACAATCATAAAATTAAAAAAATTCTAGGTAAAATCACATATTTAGGATTAATCTGCATATGACAAAAAGCAGCAAAACTCACAATGAGAGATCATAATAGTATCTCTCAATGTGCAGAATGTTGACAAGAAAAGGGCATGGGAGTGCTGGTGATGCTTCCGGCCGTGATCTGGTGGGGTAACACA